ACTATTACGTTTTAACTTAAATGAGCGTCCCGGGGACGCGGATGAGACTGGCTTGAATTTGGCCTACGACGCGGCCCGCGCGGCGGCCGGGCGGTTGTATTATTCGGAAGAATTTTAATGTTTATATCCACTAGTAAATAGAATTCAGATTTGCCATTAATGTACACGAAGGCGTCGGTAATTGGGCGGCCGCGCGAAAAGTTTCTTCTCGTGTAACTGGGCTGTCATTCCACCTATTGTATATTTTCGATCAAATAATTTAACACATTTATATTACACAGGAATGCGATGGACTTGTATTGGCGAGAGAATACCTTCAATGGGAGCTGAGTGAGGAAAACACATTCCGTATGTCTAGCATACAAAAAAGTATTGCGGCTAGATGTCAACAGGTACTACATGCATGCTATTTGACTCTACTAATTTTATATGCAGCTGGAACATTTTAAGCATAGCCTGGGCATAGTATAAGCATAGATAATATAATATTATACTAGTGCAGATACCCACTCTCATACAAGGAAATGTCGCACTCGTAACTCCGTTTATTCGGATGCTTATTTTGATTCGTAACGGTGGTCCATAGATGGTACCAAGTTAATCCGCGATGTGATTGTAATAATATTCGAAAAAGCCAAATAGATGACTTGTCAAGGTTTTGCTCTTGGTCAGGCGTTGATTATACAGGGTGTAACCCAAAAGCTGCAGTGGAAATTCAACGTCGTAGAGAGTTACTATCAAATCGTGACTAATTAAATTATTTTATTTTAAAAAATTAAGAAAATTAGTCGATATCCGTAATAAAATCGTGCTCTAACATCACTAACCTGACACAACCACTTAATTTGAAGTTATTAACATTTTTATACAATAAGATTTGTTTTTGAGTAATAAAAAGAAATGGCTATCGACTCTGTCGGTCGAATGACCGACTTGACATGACTGATGACAGAATTGTCATTGATATCTCGTGTTGTTCTTCTACGCCTTGTATTCAACAGTTTCGGAATAATCATAGTAATGGCATTTCTAAATAATTCCGAATATTGTAAAATGATGCTGTGCGTGGGAGAAGCAGACGGAAGCTTAGACCACGCCCGCGGGCGTTAACCGCGAAACATTTATTGATGGTAGACTAAAAAGCCGAGAGCCTGCTTTCGAAATATGGTTTTGAGGGGTCAAACTACTGGCTCAATGCCGGGTGATGATAGGCTAGAAGGTGTTCGTGATCCTGACATAGAAGAGGCGATGTTGGACCATTTCGAAAATAATCCGGGGGCCGACCTTAAAATGCGCTATAATATTTGTGACATGTGCTTAGAAGTTTTGTAAGTAAATAAATGACAAAACCTATCTATCTATCGTTCAGTCATATTTTCTATATATTTTTTAAGTTTTTTTCGAGTTGTTATGTTAACAAACTTTAAAACATAATTTGACTTATTCCCATAACTGCGACTGTTCTATGATTAGATAGGGCGTACTATAGGTTTCCAGAACTGGCCACTTACATAAACAATATTTAAAAAGTAATTACAACATTTGGGTAGTGAATTCCACAGCGTAGAGTAAAAGTGTAAAAAAATAACAATAGTAGTAAAAAATTTATGTATATAATACGATAAAACTCTAATTTATATTACCATGGTTTAAATGTATACTATATCATAAACGTATTTTGCTACGCCCTTACAGGGTCTCACATGTAGTTCCTAGCATAGTTCTTAGTTTGAGTACTATAACATTTAAGATTACATGTGAAATGCAAATAAATAAAAACAAAATTTAAAAAAAACTCGTTTGCGCTGAAATCACAAATTAGAAATCTGAAATAGTACATCGCCAACAACTGACCTGTGTTGTACATCTCCGTATATTCCAAAAATATTCTACGAGTATATTTATTGTAATAAAAATAATATCTCGAACAATGGGAGGCCCATAAGGTGGTGTGGGAAAAATAGCAAAACATCTAATTACAAAACAAACTGAATCACATTTCATTGGTAATTAAATATTAAATATATAATTTTTAAATTTTCGTTCATTATGGCAAAGCTGAAAATAAACTGATCGATTTGAAGTGAAACAATTGACGACATCCGTCAATTGTTTCGAATTCGAGCTGGCCAATCGGAGCTCAGTTGTCACCGTATTGATTTGGCAGAATCAAAAAATATTAAATGACATTTCGTCTCTATTTCTGATTATAATGTATTCTCCGTATCGGGGTGATTAACTAATAATAAGAGTAAATTAATTACCTCATTAGTTAAAGACACTCTTTAGGGTATAAATATAAAATTTCATGTAATTGTCATCATTGGTATTCCAGTTATCAATACGAGAAGACAACTACAATGACAGACGCCACAATGTTGACGAAAATCGAGCACCGCGCAGTGATTAAATTCCTTACAAAACAAGGAAAGACTCAAAAAGTTATTCATGAAGAAATGGTGGCTGTTAATCAAGATTCTGCTCCTTCATTATCTACTATTCAGAAGTGGTCTAGTGAATTTAAACAGGGTAGAGAGAGTATTGAAGACGATTCCCGTGCTGGAGGGCCGGTAAATGCCACTTCTGAAGAAAACGTCAAAATTGTCGAGAAACTTGTATTGGAAGATGCCCGTATCAGAGTGAAAACATTAGCAGAATAGACTAAGTTATCCGTGGGTATCATTCACACTATCCTTCATGAACATCTGAATCTTTCAAAAGTCAGTGCAAGATGGGTGCCGCGAATGCTCACACCGCTTCAGAAACAAGTTCGAGTTGAGTGCAGTAAGGGGTTTATGGAGCTCTGTAGCGAAAATCCGAGTGGAATTTTTGAACGCATTGTCACCGGTGATGAAACGTGGGTTCATCACTATGATCCTGAGAGTATGCAAGAGTCCATGCAGTGGCATAAAAAAGGAACAGACCCACCGAAGAAGTTTAAAGTCTGCCCAACCGCCGGAAAACTCATGGCCACATTGTTTTGGGATTTTAAGGGAATTTTACTTATCGAATACACAAAAATGGGTCAAAGTATTACTGCCGCAGGTTACGCAAACAGCCTACGCAATTTGAAGGACGCTATAAAGGAAAAAAGACCTGGAAAAGTGACCGCTGGTGTCTTGCTTCTTCACGACAACGCGCCGGTTCACACAGGGCGCGTTGCCAAGGCTGCTGTGAGGGATTGTGGATTTGAAGAAATCACTCATCCACCCTACAGCCCTAACCTGGCCCCCAGTGATTACTTTTTGTTCCCAAACCTAAAGAAAGATCTTCGGGGTAAGCATTTTTCCGACGATGAAGAGTTGAAGGACGCAATTAATGAACATTTTTCAGGCAAAGAGGAAAAATATTTTTTCGAGGGCATCGAACAGTTATTTGCCCGATCAAATAAGTGTATTGAGGCTATGGGAGACTATATTGAAAAATAAATTTTATTTAGAATTGTTTGCCTATTATTTCATACCTATACCGAGAACACATTGAACGCCCCTCGTATACTCGATGATATCTAACGTCAGAGTCATTGACAACGTTAATAATAAAGTTTCTTTTTTCGTTGTCATAACCACATCAGTAAATAACACGGTAACATATATACACGACAACAGCGTTCGGATATATTCGTAGATTCCGAGTTTTACCGATGTGCAATATATATAACCTGATACTGTACTGCATTTGACAATAGTACCTATTTTAAGCAATCGTTGCTGCCGAGTGGACTAAGTAATAGTGGTAATAGGTACGAGATTTTAAGACCTCAGTATGTAATGATTGCATACAATACTTTTTCTAAACAGAGTCAATATTTTGCTAACAATCCATGACAAAAACTCAAACAAAGGCCAAACATTGGCTGAGTACCGCTTTTTTATATTTTAACCTATATTTTTTTTATAAGTGATATAGGTTTAAGACCCAGTTACAAAGCCTTTATGCCAATCCAAAGACTGTGAGCGTTTTTAGATATTTTGGGGGTGTACAGGGTGGTAGAGATTCGCTCGGCTAGCTGGTGCCCCTTACTACGTCCAGAAATCAAACGACGAAACTTGGTGAAGATGTGGTTTATTGTACAACAGCTTACAATCTGGCTTATAATACAATGGTGTCCAATAAAAGATATTCGTCCCGTTGGATGCCAGCGCGGCGCAGAGCCCGCGACAAGTCCTGGTGGGTGCGAATGTTACAAAAAGACACTCGCTCAGAGGAGTTCCTGTAACCGCTTCCTTTCCTTCCGTTCCTGGAATTGCGCTTTCTACGCCAATGCCATCTAGCGGTGATCATGGGGACTATTGTTACAAACTAGTAAGAGAAGAGGTGATTAGCTTAGGGAAAATTTTAACACCGCGATTCAGAAATTGAGTTTTCTACGCCAATGCCATCTAGCGGTGAACTTGGGAACTGTTTTCACTGTTTTTTGAAATTTAATGAATTGTTTAAATACAGTAGGGAGTTATAATATAAAAGTAACGGGACTTACTCGCGTAGTATTTTAGTCGGAAGCGGTCCGACTAGTTTCGACCATAATCGATGGTCTTCTTCAGGGGTTGAGGACGAGATGTTAGTGGTAACGACGTGGTGAGCTCTGTGCGCTGGACTGTTCTCGGCAACAATCCTACGGACAGCAGTAGCGAAGAAGAGTTCCAGGACGCGCTGACGCAACGTATCAGCCTCCCGAGTTCCCCGCTGCGGACTGCGTCATCGGCGCGCGCGCAGAGATTATGGTCGAAACTAGTCTGACTGCTTCCGACTAAAATACTTCGCGAGTAATTCCCGTTACTTTTAATGTGTGATAACCGTGTTAGTTTTCAGTAGGGAGTGTCACAGACAAAATTTTGATTCGGAAAAAAGAGCGCTTTTGTGATATGGTTTATGAAATTATAATTGACAGTTCAAAATTCAGGAGTAGAAAAAAGTTATTTCAATGCAGCACGAGAGTACGGGAATTAATACCTTTTTCTTTTCCAATTATGTTTACAACCTGTAGGTACAAGTATAATAGTAATGTGACAACCATACGCTCCGAACGATGTGTAGACATTGCGGCGTAGAATAGACGGGAGTTGCACTACTTGTGTTATTTATTATACCTTTAAGTAGGGTTTTTAACTTTTCTTTGTATAATATTTGTTCATTATTATTCGAGAATTAAAAATTTGGCAATACATAATTATACATATTGCAAAATGTGTTACAGGTTGGCAAACCACTATTTTTGTCAGGCGGAGTCCTGTCAAATACCGTACAAACTGGAGAATTAGTATGCAACGAAATAGCAGATGTGACTAACGCGCTTTTTGATGGAGTTACCGGATTTATGCTGTTAAAAGCTTTCGATATAAATTATGCTATAAAAGCTGTAAAAACTTTGAACGAAATATGTTGTACAGTGGAACCGTTGATTTTTAAGAAAAGTCAATTTTGGAGACTTAGTACCGAGGTAGACAACAATTTTTATTTTCAATTATAAAGAAACAATACTAGGAATTGCTAAGACGCGACTTAAAATAAGAAAAAAAATATCATAAATAACGGTAATTGATTAGTACATACTTTAAAAAAAAAAAAAATTTATTGGAAGACGACTGTTATCTTATAGAACAAAGACTTAAATCAAAAGAGTCTAAAGAAGGTTACTACGACACCTGACGTACCTGACTCATGACGTAAACTGTTATGTAATGCCCGGCTTGAGCACTTTGGCATGCAAACTTTGAATGGTAGCAGAAATACTTTGTTTCTTACATAAAACTATGAACGGGATGATAGACTGCCCGTCTATTCTTAACAAATTTAGTTTGCGAGTACCTCCACGTCCGCCTTGACGTGGACTTGGACTTGATTCCATGTCCGTTTCTGTACAACGAATGTAGGAAAGCATTCGCCAGTCCCCCGCCTGACTAGTTTACATAACCAAGTGTCCGGTGAAGATGAAACTGTTGACATATTTTGTGATACACTATACAAATTTAAGGAAAGAACATTGTTGTAGTCTAGTTTAGTCAATTAATTTATTGGATTTAAATTATTATTATTATAATTATTGTTAACTTTAGTTTCATTTTATGGGTAGAGATTTTTTTTGTACATTGCAATGTATATTTTTAAGTGCATGTTGTGGTTGCTATGAAATTGCAACTATCTGTTAATTAATAAGTATTTATTGTATTGTGCAATCCTTAATAAATAAATAACGGTGAGGAGCTAATAGAGACACTGTAAATTGAACTTAATGAGCCATAATTTATAACTATATTGACAAAATCACAATCACTGATAAAATAAATACCTACTCGCCAAAACACAAATAACTAATTAATAATTATCACGTATTGCCATTGACTTACAAATAAATGGACGACGGGTCTAATACAAAAACCACGAAAAAAATGTCCCAAGTCAACCTATTTAAACGTAGTGACATTTCAAGGAATATGAAAAAGCTAAAACGTTGAATTTAAATTGTAATGTCATCGCAGTACTGTCTAATTTTGCTTGCTTCGCTGTCAGTCGAACAAACGAAGACTAAAGCGTGAATGACGCTCTGTATACGATTTTAACGCCCTATAAGTTCGGACACTTTTTAGCGCGGACCCGACGTCCATATAATTGTAAGTCAATGCGTATTGCAATACGATGGTTACTATTATTTAGTTTTTTTACTACTACAAGTAATATTTTTCAGATAAAAGTACCAGTGAATAACGCAGAAGCTGCATTGATGTCCGCAGCAATGGTTGCGAATATTATAGACGCACGAGTAATTATCATGCCGACTGTATCTGGCCGAACTGCGAAGGCTTTGTTGTGGTTACGGCCTTCGGCGTTGATTATCACCGTTAGCACTAACCCAAGGACAACAAGATTCTTGTTCACGTACAGGAACATCATACCGCTTATGTTTACTGGTAAAGCCGTAAATCATACAATATTTACATAATTAGTAGCAGTCGAGCTCCTTGTGAAAGATATCCAGGGAAGTACTGCTGCCTTACCTATGTCTGCCGGCAAGCAGTATTGCCACTGTATTCCAATTTCGAAGGGTACAGGAGCTGGTGAAATCACAGTCACATGAGACTTGTCAACTTATGTCTCAGGGTGATGGGCCCAGGGAAGGTGCCCCTCAGATCTTTGCGATTTAAAACTCTGAGTGGTACTGCAACTGTTATGGACAGGCGTGTAGCTTACCATCAGGCGCGCGACTTGTCCGTTCCGTCACTTGATATTATAAAAAATAATAATAATCAAACCTCTTAAGACAATTTCAATATCTTGCAGTAATTGCACGTAGATAAACTGCTCTAAGTAATACATATTAACTTTTATATATAACTAACCACGGATTGTTCCCAACCTTCAGGCTTACTGAACAGTAGTGGTGGCAGGTCTTTGTCTTCGCAAATACAGACACGAAGTTGTCAGGGATAAGTGTGACAGATAAATGAAAATGTCAGAATCAAGTCATCACCAGCAGTTAATATCTAGCTTTGATTAGTTGTGTCGAGTACAGAATTGGGATGATATTATTTGATCCTCAGAGATATAATTGATCTATTGTAAATGTTCACTTTTTTAAATAAACGATGTTTTCTACAATAATTTAAAATAATAATCGCCCAGTCACACGAGGAGAAAGCTTCGCGCGGTCGCCGCGCGGCGAACGCCCACACTTTCACGTACATTAATGGCGAATCTGAGTTCTATTTACTAGGCAACAACATTTAAGTTGAATAATATAACCGACTGCACGGGCCGCCGCATAGATCAAATTCAAGCCAGACCCGCCCGCGTGCCCGGGACGCTTATTTAAGTTAAAACGTAAGAGCTAAATAGAGTGTATTTTGCCATGACAGACGCACGCGGTCGCGGCAACGCGGACTCCGCTCGGGGGCCTCGCGGGGTGAGGCGATGAAATGCTCGTGTCGAATAAATGCGATCTAACGCACACACTCAACATAATCCTGCAGTGGGGAAACCCTGTGTCGCGGGTACCATGGACACACACATAGACAACCACACATTACACCCAAACTCACGAAAGAAATAAATGTAGGCAGTACGAGTATTTACATATACATAATTTTAATAAGAAAGAAGATATCCATAATATTAACCTTAGAGCTAAGTCCAAACTCATGGTATCACGATTTCGTTTAACCAAGGTAAACAACTCTTTTATGGGGAACTGTATGATTCTGGAGCATATATGAAGTTTATCATTTCCTAAGTTTAAAAACTACATTAAAAATATTTTGATCCAAAAATCATATTACAAAATTGAAGACTACGTGTTAGATAAAGATGTATGGCAAGACGACACGGCTCCAGAATCCAAACAAATTTGATTCAAAGCGTATCGCATAGCATTTAAGTTTATTTGAAAAGAGCAATCCCTAGAGTTTCTTGCTCGTTCTTCTCAGGGAGGTCAGCGTTTTCAAGTGTAAATTTATTTTACCTATGAAATAAATAATCTTTGGCTTTGACTTTCACTTCTCCCAGCCCGGGAATCGAACATTGGACCTCTACGTGGCATTCCGGCGTGGTAACTGTTCGGCCACGGAGGAGTTACGTTTGATATATACTTATGTATATTATTAACTTCTTTCTAGTAGTTGATCTATGGATAAATTGTAAATAAACTGCATTCAAGGTAACACCATCATTAAGTTTAAGCATACTAAATTAATATTTGAAAGTCACAAATAATATTCGATCCTCTTCATATAGGTCAAATTTTGGTTGCGCCCTCCATTCAATAGGTTAGGTTAGTACATGAACCTCGGGGCTGCGCTGGGCGCGGCCAGCCGCTGGTGGAGGCAAGGACGAGCGATAGCGTACCCTTACCTCCACCTGCAGCGGAGAGTAGGAAGACCCCGGGGGTTTGGTGCAGTCGGGCTGATTCCCTTCAAGGTTCAGCCCAGTCCCACATAACCCCGGCGCCGCCCCCGCTGGGCCGGGGTATCTGTAAGCAGATTCCCTCGGTGAATAAAAAAAACGTTAGTATATGAAGAAGCAGCACAAGCCGAGCGAGAGAAGCCAGGGTGCCAACGGCCGGCGAGTGCCAGAAGTGAATTTTTCTGAAAAAAACCTGAAAAAATTTCAGGATTTTTAATGCTCATTTGTCAAAGTTATTTTATACAAATCACCTCAGAACAGATTGAAGTATACATTGAATTATTTTTTATGTCTCAGACAAAAAGTCCCAATCATTAAAAAAGATGGCCGTTTAGATTTTTGTCTGCTGCTTTTGCAAATTTAAAATGATCATTTAAATACATGCCTACAAAATTTCCATTTTTAATTTTTTTTTACCGCAGAAATAATGTTTTAACATTGTTATATCATACTTTCAGGTCAACCGGACAGACATTGGGCCAAAACAGTACATAGCCGCGCAGTCTATGCTCTGGACTTTGCAATATCGAGAGGTTACCTCATACACGGTGATATGTACGTGACATTACAGAGATCAATCGAAGGTATCACATATTGTGATATGGTCAGGATCTTTAAAGTTACTACAAGTGGCAGACATATGTTACAGTAAGTATCTTAATGGTTATTAATATATCAGTGCGTCCAGTGAGAAACGGAATAAGACGAGTTATGCCCTTTTGTTTTTAATGCACCACTGGCTTCAGCGTGATCGATTACATAACATATCAATAGGACATCTCGCTAGCAGTCTCCTAACGTCGTGTTTCTTATTGCACTAAGGGCATAACTCACTGTTTTAAAGGCATAATTTTAGTTATCGGGCATTTTTTACGAGTTTAAAGGTACAAGTGGTCTCAACTCAAAAAATATATGCAAGTTTAACGAATAAGTACAAATATATTTTTACATAAAGACACTTCGTATTGTACCATAATGACTAGCAAAAAAAATAGGACTAAAAGCGACTATTGCCTTATTCCACAATGTACATAAAAGTATAACTGAGCATTCCGTTTGTTCCACTGGACACGATTGGTCGTACCCGCAACCATATCGTGTTGCTATTGGTTAATACTTCGCAACAGAAAACTTGTCGTTTTATTCCTTTTATTTATGAATGTGGTTAGTATCATATGTATTGTTATACGTGGGGCGCACTGTAAGTAATATTATAATAATATTATAAATGGTCAGAAATGAATTTATTGTTTCTCAAAATATTCTCCGTTAGTCAAAAGTCACAAGGTGCCAGGTCGGGACTGTACGCGGGATGGCTCATAAAGTCAACGTTGTTCACCTTCAAAAATTCATTTGTCTGCCTGGCTATGTGAGAACTGGCATTATCGTGGTGCAAGATAATACGGCGTTTCCGTTATTTTTCGGAGTTTGTCAATAACTTTCGGCAAGCAAATGGTCGTGTACCAATCACTATTCACGATAGAACGATTCTTCAAAGCAGCAGGAGCCACGTGTCCAATTTTATTAAAAAAAAACAATCATCCCCTTAGAGCACTTTGCACGCGCGCCACTTTGGTTTGTTTCGGCTCATCTCGAAAGACCCATACGCTCGATTGCTGCTTTGTTTTGGGATCGTAACTATAAATCCATGTATCGTCCTGTTACTATGTCCTGCACCAAATCTGACGCCTCTTCGTTGAATCTAGCAAACATGACATTGCACCAAGTGACGCGATCCGTTTTTTGAGCCTCAGTCAAATTATGTGCGATCCACCGAGAGCACAGCTCTTTCACACCCAAATGTTTGTGTAGTATTGATTGTATTTGACTCATGCCTATGCCTAACATGCCCGAATCTCATGGTATGTCACAAGCCTGTCTGTTTTAATCAAACGGCGCACAGCATCCATGTTTTTGTTGTTCACAGCAGTGGACGGGCGACCATCACGAAATTCGTCACTGAGATTCACACGACCGCGTTTGAATGCTGCAAACCAGCTATAAATAGTCGTCTTGCATGGTGCTTGACTGCCAAAAGCAGGTTGAAACCGAGCGAAACTCTGCTAAGCAGTTAAATTACACTTATACTGTTAAGTCGTAGAAAATCATACTACGAACATTTTCACGAGTTAAATCCATGGTGATGTAGACAACCAATTTCTAAAATGACGCCACAATGTAAGAACAAGTAACAGTCCGATGAATCAAACTGTATTCTACAGCCAAAGAGATCCATTTTCAAATGTTGTAATCACTTTTTAAAAATTGTTTATGTAAGTGGCCAGTTCAGGAAACTTATAGTGCGCCCTATGTAATCATAGAACAGTCGCAGTTAAGGGAATAAATCGAATTATGTTTTAAAGTTTGTTAACATAAGACATATTATTACCGTTAAGCATTCAAAAACAAGGACGCAACTCGAAAAAAACTTAAAGAATATATAGAAAATATGACTGAATGTTTAACCAATACCCGTTAAATGAAAGCTTAGATGTACACCTAAAGCTAAAAATCATAAAAAGTACTAATATTAATTCGAACTACCAATAATCAATAAAAGTATGGTTTTTGCCTCTCCTGAAAAGTGCCAATTTTGAGTTATTCCCTTTTTCACTGGAGGCACTGATATAAGGGGAGACCGGGTCTGGTAGTTCCCGGGGTAAGTTGTTCTCACAGCAATAACTTTGCAAGGAATATGTGATGCGCGTCGTTAAAGCGTCAGGTGATGCGTCTTGTCGGCTGCCATTTCAGTTACTCTAGCGACGACGTGTGGCTATGTGTGTAGCTACGTGCGTGGAGCTGTCAAAACATCACGTAAGTAAATTTTTCTTGTTTAAATTTTTTGGTCTGTCTTTGTTTATTATGGGCCGATTCAGACGTAACTTTTCTTAATTGTAGTGACATTAGTAAGGAATCTTATTGTTTGAGTATTTTTTTGATTGATTCTATTACTTTGCCGGTATGTCAGTCTTCGTATAAAAACGTAATTTGGGGCTATAAGTTCTCCCTCGAAAGGCTGGTTGTTCCTAGGAACAACTTCCCCAATTGACCTGCAATCATACTTAATATTTTTATGACCATTTTTCTTTAAGGATGCCAAACTACAAACGGGCTCATGTCAAATATTTAAACAAGATGATAGAGTCACTTATGAGTGTCTTAACTGTGATTCAGATGAAGAAATGAGCGTTGAATAATATTACTGATGAATAAGAATGTAGTTGTTTTTTTTAAGTTAGTTGTGCATAATATAAACATTACGTACGTACAATATTATAAAATAGGTGGTTTTATTTAAGAAAATCTTTGTTATTCTGTCATAATCCAGGCGGAACAATTTGCCTCAAAGGCGGAACAACGCGCCCCAAAGCGGGGCTGAATGTTCCGCTCCGAAATTTGTCAAAAATTAGCCTCTATCAAAAAGACTATTGACATTATATTATTATTGTAGAAGTACTATACTATTACCAAAAACCGATAAACATTTGTTCAACATTTCCACATGTTGAAAATCAAATTCTTCATTTTCAGTATAAACCTGCAAGTTATTTGAAAATCAGAACGTTCAGCCCCGCTCTCCCCTACACTGTTTCATATTGCATGTATACTTCGTTTCAATCCATTTTCAACAAAATGTAAACAAACAAGTCACTGACCCGACCTTAGACGGTTTAGTGAAGGTCAATTGTAATGCCAACTACAAATCGATTAATTAATTGAATGAATCGATTTGTTTAATTGAGTCATACTAGCGGTTTCCCCTACATAATAATAACCTATATATAAAGCTACAAGTTTACTCACTGATAGAAATAGAACGCATACTTCCCGATATGGTGGAAAAAACATATTTATGTCATTGTACGCGGATACGATCCAAAGCAAAGAATCCAATATGAGAGGACCTGAATGTGGAAAATATAAAAGAGTGATCAACGGCCTGCAAAAACTATAATATATGGCGAGAATATTTGTGCCTTTTTATGAGGTACACACTGGACAATTTTCGCCAGAATGAAAAAATGATCGGAATTCAAGTAACAAGATGGCCGCCATACAAAATTCAAAGTCGTTTATCACGGAGACTATAGAGATAGGTAGTAGGTGCTCAAAGGAATGTCATAGAGGGTAATACTGGTCAATTGCCTGGGTTAAAAAAAATCAAGATGACGAATTCAAAATGTGGGCCGACGAAAAACTTGGTTCGATTCGGCTGAAAATTGGCATACGGGGGTGTTTATGTGTGCTTAATCATAATTTGGAATCAAAAGTTTTATTCGCCATTTTTTAATATGGCTGCTATATAATCGTTTTGCTTCATTAAAAATTGCTGCCGAAGTATTTTTTGCTTGACGTAATTGATTGATCATAATTGCTTACAGATGTCCAGAAGAATATAGTTTTGCAACTAAAAAGGAAGATAATGACGATGATGAAAAAAACCATAAAACAATAGATAGAAATGGTGATACAGAAAACGATACCAAAGGTAAAGATGAAGGAAAACCAAAAAAGGCAAGTTAGCCTGAAACGGGTAAAGCTGAATTGATTGATCATGACAACGCTGCTAACTTAGGAGTTCGTTTGGAAAATGATACTAATTAATTATATAATATTATACAATGTTTTCGTTTTATTTAACAAACGTGAAACCTGCAAGCCTTCATCAACGCAGTTGTCAGTAGTGTAAGAAATTTAAATTATTTAATTAAAAAACCGACCTCAAAAGTCATTCATCCCCTAGTTTGCCATCTTCAAATTTAAATGGAACCACATCTGAGGTACTTTCTTCCCAACAAAAAAAGAATCATCAAAATCGGTTCACAAACGCTATCGCGTAACATACATACAAAAAAAAAATACAGTCGTATTGAGAACCTCCTCCTTTTTTGATGTCGGTTAATAACGGATAACTCGCGTATTTAAGTCGAGTTTTTGCTCGACATGTTTTGAACCAATTAGTGGTCCTTAATCATGAGATTCCGCAGCGGTGACTCAACGCAATAGTTTCTGCAGAATAAACATGCCTGTGCAATGTCACATTCGGTTGATTTTCGCTTTTGCTAATGCCACATCCCTTATTGCTGCAGCGATGTATTTTTATTAATAATTAATTGTTCTCACTGTCAATATTTTATATGTACTTCCCTTTGACAACCAAATCATGTACCTCACACCCGTAGAGGATGGAAAAATGCTTACCGCATGTACTGCGAAATTAACAGAGTTGGCATTTAAGATGACGTTACATATTGTCGATTCCCGTGTTTGGCACAGACCAATGTAATGCTATCTCTTTATGCTAACGACTGCACACAGTAGTTTGTTTATATTTTCAATGTCGAAATCTTAGAGACAAATTGGTTTCTATATGTCACGTCTGATTTATATATGTCAACATAACATGTCCTTTGGTTTCCATAGTCTAAGGAATAAACGGTGATTTGTGCCTCTACCTTAGACTACCATAAAATTATAGTGGCATTTATCACTAGCGATCACGTAAAATGTCTATACACAAAATGTCGTTTCTTCTTGTGACCGCTAGAGGCGCTGTATAATTTGCCGTACAAAACTGTGAAGCAATACGCGATTGCTAACGATAACTGTCATTCGTAGTAGAGCCATTAATGTCTTAAGGAAGTCACCACACACCGCAATAAACGAAAAACCTTTTGTGCTATCGACAAGTACCACTGTGGTACTAGTGAGACTTTTTTCCCACCAGTACCACCATTTGAAATGACGATTCAAGGTTCTACTAATGAGAAATCTTCCCTTCATCGAAAAAAAGAGAAATTTTTGTACGCATATTAGGAGTAAAGTGGATAGGTAAGTAAAAGAACGCACAACTTCTTTTTCACACTTCGTTGCCACTAGTACCACCGAATAGTTACACTGGGGCGCTAGTGAAACTTTTTTTCCCACTAGTATTATGCTGCATCACACGGAAGTAACTAGTATTTATTTGGTCTTTACTGCATCCTCTCGCAAAGACGTGCAATCCTTGAACGTGGACATTCATTCTTCTTCAAAGGACTGCCCATCTACCATGACCCTACGTTAGGAAATATTGGCCATGACCATTGACTTATTCATCGTGATTCTAACCCCAAAGCTTACCCTTATTACTTATTACAAGACAGAAAAAAAATTTACAATAACAATTATTTGAAATTCTGTCAGGTTAGGTTAGAATATTAAATAACCGGAGATTTTTTAGTGATTTTTTGAGGAATTTTGGAGACGTATACCATACTCTATCATACTTGGTACTTGGTGTAACGGGCTGGTGTCCGCAACTCGACGTCAAGGCGCCTATTTTGCGTGTAACTTTATATGTAACTAGTTACATGACAGAGCGAATATGGAAATATTTCTTTATTAACCTCTAGAGGTTAATAAAGAAATATTTAAAATTCTTGTGTGCATTCATTTTGTTTATGGATCTTAGAATAATAAATTTATCGAACGGAATATCCGGCAAACGAAACTATATGGAAGCAACCAGTAGTATCATATAAAGTCGCCATAGCGCTGTACCGCATGGTATAAAATTGTATAAAATGTAAATAATTATTACTCAATACTCATTGACTTACAATTATATGGACGTCGGGTCCGCGCTAAAAAGTGTCCGCACTTGTAAGGCGCTAAAATCGTATACAGAGCGCCAAACACCGCTTTAGTCTTCATTTGTTCGACTGACAGCGCGATACTGCGATGACATTACAATTTAAATTTCGAATAGGTTGACTTGGGACATTTTTTTCGTGGTTTTTGTATTAGACCCGTCGTCCATTTATTTGTAAGTCAATGTCAATACTCAATATTTTATTGCAAAATCATAATGTATACAAGTACCTACATACTAAATCTATGGTATACAATGACATTTTAATAACACAGAAAATTATGGACCCCGTCAGGCACGGAACACAAAGGAATCAATACATTAAATGCATTAATGTATTGATTTGTATGTAGTGTGTTTGAGTGTTGCTATGTTCCTATGGGGGTGGCATATTCTATTAAGATTAAACCCTCTAATAAATAAAGAAAACCAAACCCAGTATCATAAACATTTTTTTTAACGCACATACTCATAGCCCCGCACTAGGGAAACCCTGTAACGCAGGTGCCATGGAAACACACATAGGTAAACAACCACAAATTACACCCAAACTCTCGAATGAAATAAACGCAGGCCATACAAATATTTCTCCCGGCCCGGGAATTGAACCAGAGACCTTTACGTGGCAGCCCATGTAACCATATCGGGAAAGTAGACCAAACGGGAAAGTAGATCAATTGTAACGAAGGGACCGTTCGGCCACGGAGGCAGTTCAACAACATTAATTCACCAAACGAAAACTTGCCCAAATAATACATCCTTCTAATTATTCTTATAATAAACGTTCTCTTGTTCGTCCCGTCCCTTGATATTATTAAAAATAATCTCAGTACAGAGTACTAAAAAAACCGACCTCAAAAGTACGTGGAATTACGTCTATTTGCTAAGTTTCATTGAAATATCCCCTAGTTCGCCACTATACAGGACTTGATACTGGAGATAATATAAATAGGTTCTCACTACGACACTACTCAAAGTATATCGAGAGAAAAACGCCTTGAATTGGAGAAATAGCAAAATCAACTAAATTATTGCTAAAAGTAATTGCTCCTAAATTAAAGTTAGGCGCTATTTATAAAAATGAATCTTCATGCGTGAACAGACACCCTTTGAGGTGGATGATTTTCTTCAAAATGAAATGGGACCACTATGGAAATACCCCCTTTCCAACAAAAAAAGAATCATGAAAATCGGTTCACAAATACCGGAGTTATCGCGTAACTTACATACAAAAAAAAAATGAACATACAGTCGAATTGAGAACCTCCTCCTTTTTTGAAGTCGGTTGAAAAATAGTTTTTTGTTTCTTTTACAATAAGATATTTCTATGTTACTAATTAATTCCAAAATAGTTATCATACTAATGAAAATTAGATTCAGAACAAAAATTAAGACTTGTTTGTTACCATCGTTAGTTTTTTTTTATGTACAAAATAATTCTGATCACGATGCGATATCTTTCGATTCTTATGAAAATATTCTGAAGCTCCCACGTTGAATCACATTTTTTCCTACCGCTTTATTTATCTTTTTCGCAAACCTCGTTTTGATCCCCTAATGGTTTTCCCACAAATAAAACTTGGCTTTGTTTATTTCGTGGGTTTTATTTTTGTCGGCGTTGTTAGCGACAGCTGTGTCATGTTTATCATTCCGCTTAACCTCGATCAGGATTCTTTACTTTGGTTTTGTAATTCACCTGATTTTTGTTGAAAAACAGCTAAACCTCCGAGCTCGGTATCTAGGGATTTACAAGATTTGTGTAACGAAGATTAATTCACAACCATCATTTGTGATTATTTAGCTATGCGGAGTAAGGTAACTTCACAATTTTGTATGTCACCCGAAGATAATAAATCAATACATTATTATAAAATCCTAAAAAAGCTGAATCTATACTTTAATATTTAAAAATACAAGCCAGTGCTGTCTACACAGTGCTGTCTGTTCTAAACACAAAACATAATTTTTTAGAATTTCTGCATACTTGTCTGTTTGTCTGTGGGTTTGTGCACGCTATTCTCCACAATGAGTAAACTAATTTAAATGTGGTTTTTGTCAATGTATTAAGTTAAGTTTAGATTAACATTCAGTGTTTGTTACATTTCATTCTACAAATAAATAAAAAAGATGTCAATTATAATTATTAATACGCGAATACTTAGAAAAAATTCCACCGATCCGGCTGGATTCGAACCAACGTCTTCTAGCAAACCGTGTCAAGCGCTATGCCAACTAAGCCATGGAACAAACTAGCAGATCTCACGAATTTTTCTGTGCTTGTTGTCGGATCTTTAGTATTTTAATTTTTAACGACTTTTAGCCGTAGCGCCATCTATGAGAAATCTATGAAAGTATTTCATCACCCAGTTAGGTACCTTTACAGCTACCAGGCTTGGCTAGAGATGTCGCTATTATCTGTAATAATTTTTTTCTTGAATTGATATTCAATTATTTTTTGTTAAAATACTCCACTAGTTTGTTTATAATTATTAATACAGAGATTTACAAAGATCACCCAGTACTCATTTCACAAAAGTTAGGAGTCATTTCACAAGAAATAATTGAATATCAATTCAATAAAAAATTAACACGTAATTTTTTTGTAAATTTTAATTGTGTGTCTTGGGCGCTCTTGACGTAACGCGTCGGAACAAAGTGCGTGCGCTGACCAAACGATTGAATAAAAGTAATGTCATGTAATTCTAAAATATTGGTCATCAGTAGACCTACAAAAAAATCAACGACACATTATACCTACCTTTCATATTAAAGCCAAAATAACGGTTTTGGTTTTTTAAAAATCTAGAATCAAAGAATTTATTAATTCAAATCAATGCTATAAAATTTATTCATTCAAAAACTAAATTAATCACAAATGTCAATGCGCACCGTAGGCTTC